GCCGGGGCGGGCGGCGGCTTCGCCGTCCTCTGAAGCCCCGCGCCCCGTCCGGCTGACGATCCCCGCGCCCGGGGGCCCCCGAGGTGGGCCTGGAGCTCCCTGCGGCCACATACTCACGCAGGGGCTGCCCCTGCCGAGGTGGGTCGGCGGCCTGGGCCAGGCCATGCCATGCATGGAAGCCCCTGAGAGCTGGGCACAGCTTCCTGCCCTGCAGCCGGGGGACACGGCTAGGCGGGCATCCTCCGCAAAGCCAGGGCCATGGCCGGGCAGCCCTCCACCCATTCTCGCTTTCTCCGCATGCCAGCAGCCTTGAGGGGTCTTCGCTCACTCAGCTATGTGCTGGGCCATCGGGATGGGCCCTTCCTGCTCAGAGAGCTCCTACAGTGGGGAAAGGGGCAGGGAAAGGGGTGTGCTCCTGGCACCCAGCAGCACCCTCTCACCACAGGCCCTACTGCTCTGTCAGGCACAGCAACATTTCCTCCCAGCCACAGCCCCTTCTCTGAGCACTGCCACTTCTGGCACAATGCCAGGTATTAAATAACACAGAGGAACGGGGTCCAAATCCCTCTCCTTTTGCCCAGCCTTAACAAGGAGACCGTGCTGCTGGGAGACATGTGGAGCTCATTCTGGTACATGCAGCCTGCTGTACAACCAGGTGTCCATCCAGGCCCAGCTCTTACAGCATGCTTTGCCGTTCGAAGTCTGCCCCATGATCCACTGAGCTCAGTCTTTCCTCTGGCAGTGGCCTGCACCCTGGGGTTGGGAGATGGCAGCTCCCTGTGGTCCCATAACACACCTGACTAGGCAGAGATGCACAATGCAAAAAGAAGGGGTTGGGGGGGTGGGGAGGGTGGGACACAAGGGTGGGAGGAGGGTGAGGAGGAAGAAGAAAAAAATCCTTCTGGTCCTATTTGGCCATCAATTGGTGCTCTGGGTCATAAGATTAAATCAGGCTGCACTCAGAGTGCAGTGGCAACAAAGACTTAGTTCTGGATGCAAAATTATCTAGCCCCTTTATAAGCCTTGTCTTCACCATCAGGCAAGAGCAGGGGAGGCACAGGCATGGCTCTCTGGAAGCTGTACAGTTCCACATGAGGAGCTGGGGGGTGGCACATGGCAAAACCCAAGAAAAACACAAATCCTCCTTACATTAACTACAACTGTATCCCACTGTCTGCCTTGCAACATAAATACACACCACTCAAGTAACCTGCCTCAGCCGCAAATGGCTGAGTCAGTAAGCCAGTTTGGCCCAGGTCTCAGCTGGAGAATCTGATAACTCTGAAAAGTTCATGGCTAGCTAAACCTTCTCTTAGGTTCCTCCACACAGAAGCTCATTATTGCTGTTGCGTAAAAAGGGGAATTGCCTAATTTCATGGCATTGCTGTCTCTGTAAGCTGGCACAAGCAAAGCAGCTGGGGTGGAACTGACTCTGCAGGGCAGTGCTGGGATAGGGGAGAGCCCTTTTTGGGGCAGAGGTGGGACACTCCCAGGCACACCACAGAGCAGGGTCTCTGCAGGCAGGCAGGACTAACTGACAGCAAATGGGTTCACTACTGCTTGACTCCAGAAAGCAAGTGCCTTGAAATCATCTCATCTATTCACTGCCACATTGTCTTTGGAGTGATTCCCCTGAAGCAGGACTCACTCACATTACTGGGAACCACTTGCCCCGAGCCAGGATTACAGCAAAATGTGGCCTTCCTGAGACAACAAAACTCTGCTAAGGAAGGTGTCCCCATGGCAAGCAGTCTGCACATATTCCTAGTTCTATCTTCACACTGTCCCCATTTAAGGATGCAGGAACCAATGCATTTCTTATTTACTAGGTGAATATTGATTTTCTTTTTTCTCATTAATGCCTGTTCTGTGCCAGGCTCTGGCTGTAACAAGACCTGCATCCGACTGCACATGCACTAAACTAGCATTCTGAAATTGTTTTCAGTACTTAAATAAAATTACCATAATGAACCATAAGAGCAGAAAGAAAAGGTGTGTGTGTGAACAAGCTGTTTTGTGTTTAGAACTGATTTATGAAATACAAGAAATATTCAAGCATTATAAGCAGTTAGTAAATTGCACTGACTGCTTTTTTTAAGAGTTCAGGCCTCTTTTGTATTGATAGATTATTATTTTTTCAGCTCCCAATCAGTTCCCTGATTCCATCTGAACTACTCACTGAATTCAACTTGTTGAATAAACTCAAATGAAGAAAATACTCACTTTTCACTTGCAGAAGAGGCACTTGGGATCAAAACCTGGTTTAAGCACTGCAATAAACTGCTTCCAGATGCTTAGCCAGTCATGTTTCCCAGATAAGTATGAGAATTTTTCTTACAAACTGTATCAGCTAACATGTACTGTTTGACTATTTTTAATATCTTATTTTGTATATTTTAATAGATCAGAATAACTTTAGACCTAACATAGCTTGTGATTATTTCATGTTTAATTTGAGATAGTTTTTAAAGGAAAATGCAATTAATATAAATTTAAAACATCCAACTGTAAAAAAAAACAAACCCCAAACAACCTAGGCTCCAAACAACTTTTTCCTAGGCCAGGGAACTCTGGGGACTGCTTTGGCTTGGCGAGGCAGCAAATCCCATGGGGACAGGGAGAGAAAGTTGTTGGCGTATTAAATTGTGAATGTGTGAACCAATGCCTATGATGCACCAGTTCACCCCAGCAGCACTCGCTCCTCAGTCTGATTCCACCACATACATAATTGTTACCTGCATCTCCTGGGCCTGTGAGTAACCTTGGGTGCAGCATCTACTACTCCAAGCCCTGGACCATGCAAGCATGAACTATGTCGGAGTTCCCTTGAGCCCTGGCTTACCAGAGGTCCCAGCTCCCAAGAGCTGCCCGTGGCAGGACATTTGGAGGTGCTGTAAGGAGATTCAGCAAGGAAATCCCTCCCTTTTGTCCCCACTTCCAGAGATATTAGATGGCATTTCAAAGGGTTGATACCCTCTTCCTCTGATGGGGATGCTGTATTCATATGAGAACTGGCTAGGATCTCTCCTCCAGGAGAAGGGAGACCAAAAACTGGGATGACACAAGAGAAGAAACAATCAGGTGTGAGGTCAGTGCCTCAGAAAGAAGAAGGAGAGAGAACCAAAACCAGTGGAAAGTAAAATGAAAAGGAGGAAAAAACCTGAAAGAGTGGGAGACTGGCTGAGTCTTGAGTCAAGGGGAAAGCCAAAATAAAGTCACAGAGCAGGAAGGCCAATGAAGAATCAGAGACAAAGCAACAAATTTACAGACACAACTGAGGAGAAGGAAGATGCAGCTAAGCAAGGAGTACAGCCTAGGCCTGACTGGCTTCTTGTCATCAGCAGGAGTCTGAAGATTGGAGGGCACTTAAAGACCGAGTCTAGAAGGTCTCGCTGCTCTCCTTCCTTATACATCCTGGACCATAAGCTAATAAAGTACTTTCTGCCATCATAACCTCACCGTGTGGTCCATTCCTGCCTCCTTCACCATCATACCGTGCCCAAGTTAGCGCCATCTCCATGACAGCAGAGGATACACCAGAATGATCATCTCATAGCTGACCCATAGCTAAGCTAAGCTACTATTTTAGACCTCAGGTATAGCTGGCTTGTGGATTACAGGGCTGGATAGAAAAGACTGGTCCTGGCAAGAGATACTGGTGTCTGGTCAGGAAGGGTTCTCCCCTCTAAACCATTCTTCTGCTGGAAGCCTTGTTGCTTGGAATGGTATAGCTGTTCTCAGCCTCATTAAACAAGAAGAATCAAATAATCTGTGTTGGACAAATCCTACATTTGGTTCCCAAAAATTCCCCAATGGTATGGAGCCTCATATGTATTGCCTCTTTTCTTTTGCTTCTCCATGCTCTTGCCACACACTTAAATGGCATTTGGCAGTTTCTGGGGATTTTTTGAGAGGAAACGGCCAACAACTGAGAAACAGTTCCTTCTCTGTCATGTAGATGGAAGGGAGACACAACAAGTAGTCACTGAAGCCAGAGGTGAAAGAGGTGTCCACATATATGAGAAGAACAGGTTTATTTGCGCTACTCCCCCCCCCGAAAATTACATTCAGTAACAGTATCTACTTTTGAGTTCTTTGTTTCACACAAGCATCTCTGATGCCTTGAGCAATTTCTGAGCCTCCTTCCATGGGCTTTATACTTGGTAGCAGAGATCTGAAAGCGACAGTCACCAAGAAGACCCAAAAGATGCTCCACCACAGCTGATCAGGGACTTGCCGAGTTTGGGACCTACCTCAAACATCAATGGCAATCACCACCATCGCTCCAAGGCAATGAGGTTCTCTCACTAAGATCCAAAGCACAGCCAGTCTTGCCAGAGGAGGCCAGACTGCTGAAACACCTCTGACCCACTGCTCCCTCTCCAGCACCCTGCAAACCCCGCATTCACACTAGCCAAGAGAGAAAAGCCTGGGAGCCAAGGACAGCACTGGGGGGATGAGGGGCCTCCTGAGAATTTCAGCAGAGAAATAAACACATGAAGCTGGTCCCAGGGCTCTCATGGTGCTCCAAAAACAGACACACACACATTTGTGCCATAGACCCAGAGGAAGAGTTCACAAGTTGGCAGACTACCACATCTGGCAGACATCCAGGAATCATGGCTCTGAGCTGTCCTCAAAACAAGACAGAAAGACACTGGGTCATGCTTGACCTGTTCCCAGACACCTCCGCCAGTCTACACTGCATCAGAGAAATCCAGCCTCACTTTGAGAAGGTCCCAGCTCTCTCCTGTCACCCCTTCCAGAAATGCACAAAGACTAGGCTGCTGACTGGAGAAACTGAAACCAGGAACAACTCCCAGGTGCCGGGAAGCTTTCACGCATTTGTTACAGAGACCCGTTTGTGGTCTCCCAGCCCAGGTATGGTGTTGCCCCATAGCCAAGAGGGCAGCCTTTCCCCACACACACACGCGTGATACTCACAGCCTGCGCATAGGCGCTGTATGGGCTGAACGGCAAGGTGAGAGATGGAGTGAATATCCCCAGCTGCCCCACCATTTGCTGCATACGACGGAGGGTCCTCTCCTTATCTGTGTCAGCAAACTTCACCACTAGACTGGAGGAGGCGCCCTAGGCACAGAGAGAGGAGACAGAGAGAGGAGGCAGGGGGAGAAGAGGCCGTGGGACAGCCAGAGAGTCAGCAGTCAGGCAAGGTGGGATGGGGCAGAACAGGCACCAGAGAGGAGTGGGAAGAGGAGCAGAAGAGCAAATATTGGCGTGAAAGTGCTCAGGAGCTGCCTGGAACCTGGGCTGTGCCCTTCCCCATCCATCTGTCCGTCCAACCCTTCCTTCTCCCACCCTTCCCCTCATACCCTGGGCCTTGCACAGCTGCACAAGTGGGTGCACACATCCCTGGCTGCGTTCACCAGGTGATGGTGCAGCCAGGAACACCCAGGACATTGTCAGCCACAAGCACCATCTTTCCACCACCATGAGCTTGGCTGGATAGGCAGAGCAGTTCCTGGCAGCTGGAAATACCCCTGCTGCAGCAATGCACTATCCTGCCCACAAGGTGCCCCAATCCAGGTTAGAGATTGTGAGAGATGAGATTACAACTGCAGCTCCACTTGCACAAGAAGGCACAGTTGTGGCTACATAACCCCACACAATGCACAAAGCATTCCCATCCACACCAAGCCTGCCCCAGAGGCCTCCTTTACTGCCTAAATAAGAGAAGGCGGGGAGCGTGCACAGTAACTGGAGTCCTGACTGCTCACATTGCTGAATTGTTAGCTTGCACCCTGCTCAGTTTTGAACTACTCCAGGTAGCTGTCTCCAAGACAAATTCATGACCTGGTTCTTGGCTCTCTTTTAATTAGCCTTTATAGCTCTAAGCGCTGTCACTACCAGTTTGAACAGACATAGATACACACACCAGCCCAGAAGACAGGATGGTTCCCGAAGACAAGAGCTCAGATGTGCACACACACCCCACACCCCCCCCACAACCACACGAGCTGGAAACTGCAATTGAACCTGTCATGGTTTTGGACAGTGAGGGAAGGTCCCTGCAACAGGGTCATGGAAAAGGATTAGGAAGAGGGTAGGTACCCTGGCCTTATACTCACGGGCATTGTCTGGCTGCCATGGAGTGCGTGGATTGCTGCCTGAGCCTCTGTGTGAGATGAGAACTTTACAAAAGCACAGCCTGGAAAGGGACAGAAAGAGCACAGGAGATTGCAGTGACAGGACGGCTGTGAAAGTGCCCCTTGCATCATCACGCAAGAGACGGTATCTGGATCTCAGGCCGGGCAAAGGAAAGCCACCCCAAGAAAGGAGTGAACAAAAAGGATGACTCATCCCAAGCCCTCTATCCTGGAAAAAACAGGAAGAGTCTCAAATCGCTACTTCAATGATATACTCTATAGAGGATGTCACCATCTCCACCCTTGCCCCTGATTACCTCTTCCCCAAATTCTCTATGCACTCCTAATTGTGGGTACAAACATTTCAAATTGCAGACCCAGACTGAGCCAACAGGCTCACTAGTGATCCTGATAACTCAGCTACTCATCATGCTCTGCTTCCCCTCCTTTCACCTCGGTCTCTGCCCATCTTCCCCAATCTTTCCTTGCAGCAGACAACTCTTCCTGCCCTGCTCCCTGTGCCTGGCTGTGATACGGATTCCCATAAAGATGGGGTGGGGGAATAAATGCCCCAGTGGAAAGGAGGCAGAGGTGGTGAGGCAGGTGAGTGCTACCTGAAGAGCAGGGAGAAAGGGCACAACACACAGAGGGGTTCACACCTTTGCTGTTACCATCAGGTCCACGGAGCACCGTACATTCATCAATGACCCCAAATGGTTCAAAGAGCCGGAGCACGTCATCCTCAGACTGCTGCTTATTTAACATGCCCACAAAGAGCTTCCTGTCCCCTAGGGGCAAACACAGAAACATCAACCTTCTATGAGGCGTACAGTCCAAAGCAGGAGGATAGGGACACTTAAGCACAAAACAGCCTAGTGTTGAAAACATGCCTGCCATGGAAATGATTTGCTGTTGGCTGAAATGTTTCCAGGGGTGAATATGCAGGGTCCTCTCAAGCTCCTCACACCTGCAAAGGTTTCTGTGGCTTCCCCTGTCCTACCCTCCCCAAAGGAAAACAAAAGATTAATAATTTCCTTCTATTCATTAGCCCTTTCCTTTGAATGATCCAACACAAATGGTAGTAAGAAAAACTGCCTGGGCAATTATACCCTTTTTGAACAATATGTGAAGTCCAAGAGGTACCTTAGGAACCCAGGCAGGGTGAATAAATTCCAGGACCCTTGGCTTCTGTTTCCTTTTTCTTCTCTCCATGATCACTGTTTCCACAGCTGCTATGTAACCAAGCATCTTAGCTTCAATTTGCCCTTCCTTACCCCAGTCTAACCAGTATGTCTACCGAGCTGTCCTCTAAGGCCTGGAACAAACCCTGGCATCCTGGGTCCCAATTTGCCTCATCATAGGATCAGCCAAATGCAAGACAGTTGGATGAGGGCCAACAAACAGCCCCATGTCCCCACTCCCCCCTCTCCAAGGGCATTTTGTACCCATGTCACACTGGTGGGGGGCTGGAAGGCTGACCAACACATCCAGGACTTTGAGCTCAGGGTCCATCTGGGTTCCTCCATCAGAACAGAGAAGTGAGGATTATGGTTTTGTTGGGATGGCCAAGTGTGGAGGTAGGAAGAAAGGTGCACAGCGCTTTCTCCCCCTCTCTGCCCCCATCAGTACACACAGGGGCCCATCACACAGCCCGATACCATCCAGTCGAGCACAAACACAGCAGTGGTTGGAGCAACATCCTCCACAGATTACTGTGAACAGCTATTAAAATAGCACAACATTAAAATACCAGCCTAAATGCCAGCCCAATCTCCATTTTTGCAAGGAGACAGTTGTGCCAGCTACAGAGTTAATCCTCCCTCACTGCCCCAAACATGCATGGAGAGACATGACCCATAGGAACGAATGTGTCAGGATATGGCTTGGGAGGAGCAGCGAGAGAAGATTCCTTATTGTTAGCGACAGGATCAGAGGGGCTGGCTTCAAACAAAACCAATGTAATGTGATGCAAGTCAGGGAAAATAGCAAGGAAGCTGCTATCTGTTTGAGGGTGCAGTGACCCGAAAAACAACAGGTCTTGGAGCTACAGCAGCAGAGCAGGCTGCAGGGGTGGTGGTGTGTATGTATGGCAGGAATGGATGACACATTACACATTCACACTGCCGGCAAAGCCTCCCCCAGCCCCTTCCTTGCACCCCTTGGCTCAGAGGATGGTTCCTACCCAAGTAAGTAAGCAAGCTGCCTCCTCCCAAACTGCTCTGCCACATACAGACACACTTGGGAACACATGCAGGAAGTATCTACATGTGCCATTGGTCCCTTGCAGAAAAGCAGATGCACACACACAACATTAATGGACAGGCACATCGGCTCACGCATGCACAGGAACATGCTTGCACATTGGCCCAGCCCCAGCAGGTGCCTTCAGAAACAAACTTCCTCAGTGAGCAAGAGGGATGTGCAGACAGATGCACTCTTCCACCATGCAGACACCACAGGAAGCCGCTTTGCATGGCTGCACCACCCCATGGAGCCCAAGCACAAGCTCATGCAGGCACAGCCCTCCACTAGGCACTAGATGTACATGCAACACAGATGCGACTTTGATCCACCACACATAAAGGGTTAAAAGTGCTGTATCTAAGGCTCTTACCCAGTCCCAAATAGACACTCCTAATTTATATCACTGGAAGTGGCTGAAATATATGGCCTTGGGTATTTTTTAAAGGCCAAATTTCTCGGCTTCCCCATTTTCATGATTCCCTGGATAACTAAACGTGGGAATTTCATCCCACTCCATTTTCCTTGTGATTCTTTCTACATTTCTGCCTGCACCTGCATGACAATGGTTGCATTTTGGAGACACTATTTCAGCCGATCGAGTCCATTCAAAATTTAGTGCTCTGGTAATGCCCCATAATCTGCAGCCAAGGCACAGGAGCTAATAAACCAGGTGCTGTACAGCTGCCTTCTTAGCAGCAGATGCAGATGCAGACAGCATCTGCCCCCACCCAAGGGCCAGATCAGAAATGCTGGTGGGCAAACCAGCCAAAGAATAGCACATAGAGAAGGTGAAAAATCTGACTGGAAGGGGAGTGGGAAAAAAAACGGGACTGGTCAGGAACATATTTACTGGGAGCTGGAGAGGAGAATGGAAACTAAAGGAGCAGTAGTTCTGTGCTCCCATTAACATCACCCGGTGCTGTATGTGATCCCAGTTTGGCTATGGGGGGGACACTTGAGCTCTGCAGTGTTCCCCCTTCCTCTACCCTGAATCTATATTGCAGCTGCAGCCAGGCCTTATTTCAGATATGTGCACCATGCTGTGGCTTTTGGATTGCAAACACGGCAGGAGTTCCTCAAAAAACACATCAACAAAGGGGAGAAACACACTGGGAAATATTTGTACTGACTTTAGATGCTGTAAAATAATCCTCTGTTCTTTGAACTAACAAGCAAATAATTGTGGACTAAGACTTAACAGCCAGAAATGCACTTGATGGTCTTGCCTTGCTCTTTAGGGAACCCAGCAGGCTGTCTGGCTGTTTGGGTCAGGGTGGCAGGGGGGGTGTCAAGACAACTGGGAAAATCAGTTATATTAGAAATTTAAAAAGCTGGAACTCTAGGTGGGGGCAACATACAGCTACACGGATGTAGTATTTCTTTTGTAACACTGGCCTTTTGCTTCTGGATCTGATTTTGTGTAAAGTGAGGTTTTTGCCAAAGAATAGCGGGTAACCAGTGGAGAGTCAGATAAGTGGTTCCAGTTTTGGCTGATGACTAATTCAGTGCAAAGACCTGATGATTACCACAGCCACCCAAAGCTTAAGTCTCCACCAAGCAACAGTCTAATGGATGCAAGAGGCCACAGCTTTGCAATGGAGGCACCGAACAAAAAGGAACCTTGTCAACTTGCAACCAAATCAACATTAAACTCTGAGTTACTAACTGTTTTCTCCTTCAGAGAGCCTTGAAATTTCCTGGATAATTCTTGTGGTTTCATCCTCATACCATTTCTGTTGGATCAAAAGCATTTTTCTTTACCCCGCATTTTGGGAAATGTCCATTGAAACAGTGGATGCTAGTCTCCATTCTTGCAGTTTTACTGCAGGTCTTCTGTTGTCTGACAGGGCTCACTAGCAAAACATTTTGGAAGTCCTGTGTTTATGTGGGAATTCCAGCTTTTCTTTTTTGATTTTGGAAGAAAAAAATGCCAGCCTTCCTGGCTATGCAGAACAGGTTAAAACTGTGATACCTTAGGGACTCAAGCTATAAAGGCAAATATAAAGAAACACACCTATTGGTTTTGAATCTTTTCTGAATGCCCAGAACAGCAGTATTAGAAGATGGTGAAGTCACTGACAACATAAGAGAAAGATTTTTTTGCAGTTATTTTCATTTCATACAGCCCAGTTCCCAAGATTGCACGTAGGAAAAGGATCCAGGCTTGTTCCTCTAGGATGCCTCTCTGCAGCAACCAGGGACCTGTGAAAGGGCTCCTCTGCTGCTTACCTCTCTCCCTCTCCACGTGTTGGAGCCCAACCCATGATCTAGTGCTCTCTCGCTTCAGGCAGCTTCCAAACAGGGGCATTCCCCTACCAATAACCAAGCTGCCTCATCTCTCCACAACTGGGCCAAAACCCTGCAAGCCCTTTCACCTGATGTCTGCTGTCACCACTCTTAAAGCGGTCAATCCCAAATCAGCTGGCATCCTCGAGCCACTGCTGTGGGTCACTGGCTCCTTTGGCTCCCCAGCAGGGACTCCTGCAGTGCTGGAAGATCTAACAGCACACCCTCCTCCTGCCTTTTTTCCTTCACTTTCTCTCCAGCTCGTTTTTCACCCTCTGATTGGCAATTTCCCATGCTGTCCAGCAACCAGGAAAATTGTCTCTGATCTCTCACTGTTGAGTTCCCATGGAAACATGCTCTGGGCACAGTCAGTCACCCAGGCAGCAAGAGGACGGCCAGTGTGGAGCAGGTTGCTGATGAAGATACCATGGGAACAAGCAAGGGGTTAAGGCTGAATGCTTCAGCCATGAGAGAGAGAGGAGAGCACACAAGCACTGGACACTGCTCCTCTTTAAACCCAGTGGATTTAGGTCATCTGGCCAGCAGCTGTCAGCAGCAAGGATCAGGGAGTGGGAGGAAGCCCACTCAAGCAGTTGGCGTGGATGGGACGCAGCAAATCTCCTTGGGTATGCAGAGAGCTTCCTTGTCTCTAAGGCAGTGCTAATGGGCTTGGGCTAGCTGTCGTATCACATCAGTGCAGCAGAGTGCTCCAGGTCTCGCAAGAAGCACAGACAAGCTCCTCTGCCCCCCCACTCCATGTCCTCCTGGCACTCCCAGGCTCATATCAGAGGCATGAGGGAAAGGAGGAAAGAGCTGGCAAAGCCTGTGCCAGAATCACAGGTCCCCCTCTGAACTAATGCAGGCAGCATCTTTTCACTAGTGAATTCCTTCTGCAGGGTGCAGTAACACTGAGCATCCAGATATCCCCATGCAGCCCCTGCAGGGTTTGGCCAAAACTGCCTCTTTGGCACAAAAATTAGCATCTCTTAGACCAGGAGACAAATTCTGGTGCTCTAACTTCATGTACTTAATTCAGGGTGCTTAATGTGAGAGATGTCAGTACCTGGAGAGGATAAAAGAGGTTCCCTTCAAGGATAATGCAGAGCAGAGCCTCACTGATGCATGCAGCTGTTCCCTTGATAAATTCCTAGTCCAAGCAGTTCTGCCTTGCCCCAAATCTTTCTTTTACCTCCTGCTAGTGTGGGGCTATTGCTATAGGGAATGGCTCTTCCCATATCTGCAAACTTGCTCATCCACTTCTCTGACAAGCGGAGCATCACAACAGAAACCTTTGGAAAGAGCAACCTGATTCAGACAAATATAGGGTGCTGTCTTGATGCTGCTTCTGCCTCAGGAAAAACTCCAGTTCGTCATGGATCCTGTGGGAGCTACTTGTTTCTGAGCTCTGCAATGAAGCTAGAAGGAAGCTAGGAACATGGGCTGGAGGGAGGCAGGTGTTCAGACTCCAAAGGCTGCTTTTCTCTATGACCTTCTCCATGGGAAGCAGAGCTGATGCCCTGATGTTTGCAGTCATTAGAGATTGTGGCACCTTTCATAAGCTTAGAGATTTCAGAGTCCAGTGCCTCTGGACAAGCCAAAAGCTTGCCTCCAAATCAACATCCTGTTTTTGAACTTGTTGGCCTATTTCAGCTCAATTTGACAGAGGAGCTGAGGCATCAGAGATGTTAAGTCCCAATACATTTTGTGATACTAGGTGGCTGTGTATAGAAGAGAGTCCCTAGTAGTGCCCCACCAGCAAAAAAAAGGCTGCAGAAATGACCTCAGCCTAGTATTAGACACCAGAGATTCCAGAGTTGCACTCATCAAAGAGACACAAACTGTTAAGAAAACAAAGCTGCAGAGGTCAGTCTGTTCACAGCCTGAATTGTCTGTTTGGGCTGTTTTTACTGCTGTTGTGTGAGGGCTTAATGCAGGGTAGTCAGCTGTGCATGGGTGGTACTGGTGAAGGTAAATGTGTGCATTTGCCTATGAATGTGTATGTCAAGTGGGCACATGTATTTGCAAAGCAGTGCACACATGGGGCATCTGTCTATAGGTACATCTGCCTGTGTCTCTCTGTTGGCTGTGATGGTTCCTATGCAGCCATGTCTTACAGCCTGAGAGTGCATGGGATCTGCCAACATGTACATGTAATGGGTTTGTGATGTTATTGGTATGACTGGCAAAGGCTTTCCTAGTCTCCTATGCTTTTTTTTTTTAAAGACTCATAAGGAATAACCTCAGATACAATTACACAATTTCTGAATTAATTAGAAATCTGGGGTGCAAATTTTTAAAATCAATGTGGTGGGGGAAGGATTGACCACCTCATGGTTGTATCTAGAGGCAGTATGAGGTGCCAGCAAGTAGTCAGCTTCCTCTATCCCCACTGTAGGCACCACTAAAGGACAGTTCATCCACTTCTAGTATCGGTGTCAAGAGTGAGAGTGTGAATCACCCTGAAGGCACTGGTCTCTTTTTACTGTCTATAGGACGGACAAGGACCTTAAACTCAACCTTGAACCCAGGGGCTGAAGTAAGGTGAGATGAATCCAGTCCTATATGTCTCAGGCATGCTAATTTCTTTGGAGGCTTAAGCCACGGTTCTTTTCAAAGGGAGCATGTCTACAGGTGGCACATCTGGGATTCTCAGTATAGCCCAAGGGAATTAAAATGCCCAGACTTCAGTAAAAGTCAGGTATCTAATCCCTCAAGTAAATAATGAAAAGTCACAGATTCTATTTGGAAAAATGATCTGACTTAAACAGATAAACCTTTTTTTTTTTAAAGGAGGATCACACAACCATAAATACACATATTCATATAAAATATTACAAAATATACCTCATGATCCTGCCAGTGCAATAATTGAAAGTCACTACAAACTGCTTGGAAGTGACCCCTTAAAATTTAAAACAAAAGCCTTCCAAATCTAAACACAGCATGCAGAATATGCTGCCCTACAGGACAAACAGTCTCACACAAATTCTCCCCTCCCCACTATTAAACTGCTTTCAGAGGCAGCACCAACAGCACAAGGCATGGAGAGGCAGATGCAGGAATGGAGAGAAGAGGAGAAGAAATGTATCAGTAAGACAAGGAAAAGCAGAAAAATGAGTTCATAAATTTGGAAAGGGCTGGAGTTACAAACCTTCTCCACTTGGAGGAGGCATCTAAATTGCTGTGACCTCCCCATTAAATTAACAGAGATTCTCCTGTTCCCAATCTTCCAGCTCTGAACTACTCAGTATATGCTGCTCTAACCAAGCTGGTCCCCTGCAGCCTGACAGCACCTCCGTCTCAGGCCTAAACTCAGGATCCTCTCCCTTCAGACACTATTTCCCCATCACATGCTATTTTCTGCAACAGCACTTGGGCCCTGACAGTGTGATGGGGGCTGCTGCAGGACTGAGAGTGGAGAGGCTGAGACAGTCCAACAGTGATAGGGGAGGCAGAGGAGTGAGCTGCAGACAGGACAGTCAGCTACGGAGCAGTGAGCTGAACAGGTTAAAAAGCCAGTGCTGCTGCAGGGATCTGGCTTTTATCTGGCTGATCAGGTATAAGACTGAAGAAACCTCTTCCCAACTGCTTACACCCTCCAGGACCCCTGGTGCCATACACCAAAGTGCACGCCTGCTTCAGTAACCTCCTGGGGCAGACACTGTCAGGCTAATAATACCCTCAAAGGGCTGGGAAAGAGTGGAGTGGGCAGCCACATTATTACCCTTAGGACTTGGGGTGCTCTCAGCTGCCTGCAGTGCCAAGCTGAAGACTCCCCATCAAAGCCTATCCCTAGACTCTCCTCCTACCCCCCCAAATCCCTGCCACACACAAACATCCCTTCATACAGACTGCGGGGAGAGGAAGGCCAGGTCAGGACCCTGTCTCTTTGCTTGGTCCCCCTCACAAGCACAAAGTCACCAAAGAAGAAACAAGGAGAGATGACAACTACCTCCACGGCTCTCGCTGTCTGCAGGTTTCACTTGAATCGGGCGTGCCATCTGCAATGAAAGAGAAATGCAGAGGGTTAGAGCTTGGCCCATCTGCCTGGCACATGGTGCTGATGGCAGTGGCACCAGGGTGCCCCCTTCTGCCTGCTGTGCAGAGTAGGAGAGTGGGAACCAAGATATCGTGATGGCAACCAGAACCTTTGGAGAAGAGACCACGTGGATTTCAGACTTCTCAAAAGGAAACCTGGCGCTTTTCCCTGCTCAGCTGCTTGCCTGCAGAGAACAGCTCTCCTGGAAATGCCCACCATTCATAAACCTCTGCCTCCTCAGACACAGCAAGTGGCAAAGAAAGGCCTCCAAGGAAGCAGCTCATCACCATGAGACTGGAGACTGAACAGTGGTCAGGGTGGCCTAAGGTGAGACTATGCCTGGAAGTTCTTCCTATGCCTGCCCTGACTCAGCGCAGGCATGGTCACCTTACCTAACTGAGCCACTTACTTTCCTTGCAGGAGGGAGGAAAGACTGCCTCTGAACTTGGCTTGCAAGCAGGCACGTTATGTTTCCCCTTCCCCAGCCCTCATGCAGTCAGAGCTCTGTGCACCAGAGTGGCTCTGAAGAAGGGCAGTGCTGCTCTCCAGCATCATCTCCTGTCCACAATGGGAATGCTCAGGTTGAAAGTGACAAAACTCCTCTGGGTTGTGGAGAAGAGCTGTTTACCTCTCTTGCACCAATTAGTGTCATCAGCAATAATCCAACCACAAGCAACAAGCCTGAGGGGTAGCTTAGCTCACGTGATATGGGGACTCTCCAGGTAAGACAGAAGAACACTTCTACCCAGGAGTAGCTGCATTAAGTAACCCACAGCTTTAACTGTCTGATTGGCAAAGCAGGGCAGAACTTTGGTCTGCTGGAAGGTATGCATGTCCTGTGCTGCCCAGAAAGGCAACTGACAAGCTGTAGCCTCCTTCCTAGGCTAGCAGGATCCAACTGAGCCAGAGTCTCCTCCGAGGAATGGTATACAAGGCAGATTTCCACATTCACAGCACATCTCACTCTATGTCTCTCCGCATCATTCACAGAGGCTGACAGTGACTTGAATCAGTGACATTCATAATAAAAATCAATCAGGACATCGCAGGTAAGACCTGCACACAAACTGCAGGTCCAGGCATAGTCTGCCCCCTCTCTTAGGAAACACCCTCAGGAAAAACAGCAACAACAACAGAAGAAAATGAAAGCAACAAGAAAATGAAATCAAGCCATAAAAGTCACCAATTGAGATGTGTTTAGAAGCCAGCATGCAAAATGTGGACTGCTGTCAGTCTCCAAGTGGTGGCTGAACCAGACTGGCCAGAAACCAGAGGTAGAGCCCACATTCACAATAGCTGGAGGAAACCTGTGAAGTAACTTTGCAGTTCACAGGACAGAGATGCCAACGAGAAGGTGACAGGCTGCCGTGGCATGGCACACCACTGCTGAAGCCTGGCCGCTGGGCACAGGAGAGCACTTGTGGCAGCTGAAGGCTGTGAGCTTGCTTCCACTGACTGGTAGATCTCAGGCAGGATGAGCAGAAGCTGGGACCAGCCCCAAGCAATACCATCCCTGCCTCAAGGAGCAATATGGGGCTGCTTTGCAGAGCCAGAGACTGGCTGGCAGCTCCCCAGAGGAAAGCCAAGCTGCTGCCATGCTACACTTTGGTAGGCAGCAGCGCCAACTCCAGCTCCATCTCCCAGGACTTGCTGTGCATTTGGGGGAGAGGGAAAGGCTGAGAGTCCCTTTCCCACTCTCTATCAGCTGCATGGATTTGCAGAGCTCCTAACATCCCACTGTGCTGCCACATGGCCCCAGCATGTGCAGCACTGGCACTCACCAGACTCTGGGCTGCTGCTCCCCCCAGGAACTGCCAAGGACCAGGCATCTCTCTCAGACCATGAGCTGAGTGGGATGTGGGGCAGGGGTTCAGAAGGATGCGGTCAGACATTGCTCCAGAAAGCCTCAGATTTTCTCACTGAGAGGCGGTGCCTCCTACCCCTGCTCCCAGCCTCAGGCAATATGCCTGTGCAAGCCGAGGCTGGGGGTGTTTCGGCAGCAGGCTGGGTGGGAGAGGGCAGGCAGCCCAGATGTGTGCTCGGAAGAGAGGGCTCAGTGGAGAGCCAAGAGGGGCAGCTGGCCAGCTCACTCCCCACTGCTCCCACAGCACTGAGAAATAGCTTTGTTTCTACCCAGGATGCAAAACCAGGATTAAGCTAAACAGATGGGGAGGGAGATGGAGGGACAGACTCAGATCTCAGCTTCTATGAGGAGCAAATCCATATGGGGGAAGGGAGGGAGGAAGGGATGTCATGGAAGCCAAGAGCATCACACCCCCACGTGAGCACGGACCCACCCAGGGATGCTGGGGCTGAGGGCTTGGGGCAAGGAGTCAGAAAGGATGGGGGGAGGTGAGGGAGGTGGTTAAGTACCTGAGGACATCTCCCTGCCCCTCCCCCAACAGGGCTGTCACTCTAGCTCCCAGCACCTAGGGTAAAGGAGGTGTTGTCATGGAAACAGTTATTCACCACATGGAACCTGACATTTGTGGTTGCCGTGGAAACCAGCTCTTGGGGGCATTCCCTCTGCTTTGCACAAAAGAGACATTTTGATATGATCGCTGGGGAGGGGGCCCTCTCTACCCATCTGTCCACCCCTTTCCTTCCCCCCATCCCAGGGACTGCTACGCAGCTGAGGGTGCACTGCAGGGCCTGCCCCTGGGATGGTAAGCCATGGCTGGCCCTACTGAACCTGCCCACCATGGGGGAGTGCACCCCACAGGGTCACATACCCACAGCGGGGTGACATGCCCACAGCAGGGCCAGCGCCGATGCCAGCACAGTGATGTGGGTTAGCACTGGTGCAAGTCTGGAAGCAGTGTCTGGCTGTGGCGACGAGGAAGCGGGGCTGCCTAGGGTGAGATCAAGCATGTGGGCTGCTCTGCACCCCACAGCTGTGGCCACAGCTTCTCTCTTGCCTACTTGACACAGCACCTTGGCAGGGAACAGGGAGACTCACCTTCTGCCAATGTCAGACCAAGCCCTCAGTCAAGGGCTGCCCATTTCCAGAGACCTTGCCAGCTCCAGTGACTTTGAGAGCCACTCATCAAACTGAGGTCTGGTCTCTGGGCTGGTCTTCATCTGCTCTGGAAGATGTGGGTAAAGAGGAGAAAACAAGATACAAGAAGTTTGTCCAGATGCTGAGGCTTGGAGAAAAGCAGCAGGATTCTCTGCCTGCTGCTTCCTCAAATGGGAGGTCTCCTAGCTGAGGCAGAGGCAGGCATGGTCCTCCTTGCAGAGAACTGGACACCCAGAGGCTTCCACAAACAGCACAATAACACTTTAATCTTAAGTCCCATGTTGCCATTGAAGATGAACAAAATATCAAAGGCCTCTCAAGCAGAGGTATGAGCCTACAAATGCAAAGAGAGTCCACAGTTGCTTTAACTCAACAACATAGGTCGCAAGGCCTTGAGAAGTGTCCCTGTGGGGTCCCTGTGGGGTCCTAAACTTTGTATACAGGTCTCAGACAAAGAGCTCTGTCCCCTACAGGAACTCAATGCACAGAAAGGATGGTCAAGCTTTACCCCTTCCATTTGAGGGAGAAAGAGAGTAACAGGACAGCAGAGAGGACATACTTCTGGCTTGCACGTCAAACTCTGGAAGTACAAATTCTTCTGGCCTCCAGTCATCACCTCAAGCTGCACAGTAATCAGAGAACACACCTGACTCTAAGAAAGCCATATTTGTACATGCCCAGCTGGGCCCAGAATCCAACAGAGTCAGGATGTGCCTGCCTTAAATTCCAAGTGCCAAGTAGATGCACATGCACAGACATGCATGCCTTTACAACACAAGAACACAAACATATGTAAACATGCATGTGGCATGGAGAACTTGAGCAAATGATTTATGAGCCTGTGCCTGCCTCACTAGCTGAGCTTTATTTTCCTCATTATTCAGCTGAGTGTTATTATTCTTAATTTCTGAAGAATATCACATTAACATTTAGCACATGCTGTCAGACCACCACGGGCCAAATGTCCCCCATCCTGAGTCCCTCACCCCTGCACCTCACGGTCCTTCCTACTCGCTGCTAAAGACAGACTAAGAGCTGTCAGCTTGATGACCCACTGGACTCAAGAAACCTCCTGGAGCCACATGCAGCAATGGACACCAGATGGGCGACACATGGGAGGGGGCAAAGCTCCCACCGCCCCCCTTTAGCTTCTCCCTCACATCTGCCCTCCTGGCTGGATGCACACCTTCCCTTTCCAAACACAGCCATGCTTACCCTCCACAGCTCACAGCTCTCACAGATGACGTTTCTCTGTCCGCACCACTCTCCTTCTCACAAGCACACAGCCTTTGTTAGCTTGCTTTCTTTGTGGTTACTGGCGGGAAGCCACTGGCCAGCCTGATGGGGGCATGAAGCTATACTGACCACCAGAGTGTTATATGCTACAAAGCACAGCAGCCACATTTCCTGCATAGCCCTCAGGGAGCAGTGAAGAGATACCCTGTGGTAAGAGAGTCACTGCAGCCCAGAGGAGCCTAGAGGTTTCTACAGAAGAGGCAGGGGTGAGAGGCCTTGCTGGTGAGTGTCTAGATTACATCCCACCCCATCCCCAGCATCTGGTCAGCATAGAGAAACGGGGAACTATGCTCTGTTTGGGCTTCCTCCCTGCTTTCAAGGAAATGCTGCCCCACCCTTGTAGCACTCTTGGGATCAAGGATCTAAGGAAAATTTCTGGCCCTGCTAAAGTCAGAGGAAGCTTTGCTATTGGTTTCACCAAGGCCAAAATGCACCACTTCTCTCACCACACCCCAAAAAAACCCTTCTGGAGGTGAACTAGCTCCCCACATTTACACCAATGCCCAGCATGAGCTGTCATCTCAGCAATCTGGTAGCCATGTTCTCCAAGGAGGAGCAGTGACCCCCCCAGCTCTCGCTTTCTCAGCTTTCAAACTGCAAAAGCTGGATAGAGGGAGAAAGCCCCCTGGGACAGCAGGACAAGCCTC